TCTCTAGAACCTGAAAATATTGCCGTATATGGAAAAAGGGTCTTTGCAGATGTGATATATTAAGGATTTTGCTATGAGGAGATTATTCTGGATAATCTGCAGGGCCCTAAATGCAATCACAAGTGTCTGCATAAGAGAGAAGCAGAGGGAGATCTGACACACACAGGAGAAGACAATGTGACCACAAAGGCAGAGATTGGAGTGATGCGGCCACAAGCCGAAGAAAATCGGCAGCCACGAGAAGCTGGGAGAAGCAAGAAATTGATTGTCCCCCAGAGCCTTTGGAGAGAGCCCGGTCCTGCCACATCTTAATTTTTCTCAGTGATACTGATTTTGAACTTCTTCACTTCAGACCGTGAGAGAATAAGTTTCAGTTGTTTTTTTGTTTTGTCTTTTTCATGACCGGTAAGGGGATCACAACCCTTGGCTTAGTGTCGCCCGCACCGCGCTCAGCCAGTGAGCGCACCGGCCATTCCTATATAGGATCCAAACCCGCGGCGGGAACACCACTGAGCTCCCAGCGCCGCACTCTCCTGAGTGCGCCACAGGCTCGGCCCTAAGTTTCAGTTGTTTTAAACACAGATTTGTGGTAAATTGTTATAGAAGAAAGTAATACAATTATTTACATTGACTTTATTCACCTGATATAACAGCATTCAGCATGAAATAATTCCAATACAGGATGAAGAGATTTACTCAAAAAATAAAGTAGTGTAATTTTCTCTACAAAATGATTCACAATAGGCTTGAAAATAGCAATTTCTCTAATTGCTTTTAAAATAGGCAATTTACAAAAACAAATATTTCATACACAACATTTCAGGAACATTTCTGTAATGTAAGCCTCATTGGCTTTAGATACCATCAATCTATTAATTACTCCTAAATTCAACTCTCTAGCCCAAATGACTCCCTTAACTTGAAACTTGCATATCCACTTGCCTTCCTAGCACTGTCACATGGATATCCAACAGGCACGGCAAATTTAACACATTCAAAACTGAGCTCCTGCTCTTTCTCCCTGACTTGCTTCTCCCTAATCTGCTCCATTATGACAAATGACAACTCCATCCTTCCAGATGCTCAAACAAGTAATCTTGCAGATATGTTCACCCTCTCTCCTCATATCTGTCAGCAAATCCTATCTTGGCTCTATCTTCAGAGTTTTTTCAGAATCCAGCCACTCCTTAACACTTCTATGTCACCATCCTCTTTTCCTCCTGGATTATTGAATAACCTCCCAACCAGTCTCCCAACTTCTGTCCAATCTAGTCACCATACAGCAGCCAAAGTGTTTCTTTCAATATGTAAGTCAGCTCATACCATTCCTTGGCCCCAAACCCACTGGTTTCCCATCTCACTCAGACTAAAAGCCAAGTCCTTATAATGGCCAAATTGCCCTAAATCTCATCTCCCACCCCTCTCGCCCAGTGATCTGGTCACTCTTACCTCCTTGCTCTTCTTCAAACAGGCCAGGCATGATTTGATGGCTCCCACCACAAAGTTCTTGCACCTGCTGCAGCCTCTGTATGGAATCTTCATCCCCCAGATATCTGCAAGACTTGATCCTCTACTTCGTTCAGGTCTTGGCTCATTTGCAATGCCTTCCTTGACCACCTCCCAAATGCTTATGACCCCCACCCCCATCCCCAGCATATAGTTACATGTTTATTTTCTGTCTTCTCTCCATTAGAATGTTCATTTCACAAAGGCAGGAACTTTGGGTCAGATATGTGCACAGCCAATAAGCTAAATGTGCCAGAAAAAATACACCAAACACAGTAACTAATACATGGGCACATTATTTTCAATAATTAGTATCTTAACATACATTACTACTGTTCCTTCCGAATAAACTCCTTTTTCCAAACAGCACTTCTCTCTCACCTTTTAAATGCCATATACCTCCACTGAGAAATTTTCTCTTCTGAAACCAACTGCTTTCTCACAAAGCCACGAATTTAATCTGACTCACCCAAATAAAGAATTCATAAAGCATCTGCCTATAATACAGTACTCTCGCCTATTTTTTCTGACCATTGCTCAGACGTCTGCTGAGTTCCTTCTTTATTTAGTGTTCTGTTGGGTTTCTTTTGGCAGCTGGCCAGTACAGGGATTGGACCCCGGA